ACAGCAGTGTTTTTTTCTTGCACTGTGAAAGTTTTCTTATGGGCAGGACATTTAATAATCTCTCTCTCATGTATTCTCTGCTGTTTAATCAGGTGCGAGTTCGCACCATATTCTCTCCCTTAGCTATGTCCTGATCTACTGACCTTCATTCAGTCACTTCTTTTCATAAAACTTGTAGGAATAATTATCTTTGAGACCTCCTACCCTTCTGTCAAATTTGGTTCAAACTGACCTACAAGTTCAAATGTCATTGCGAGCAGCCAGCCAGACATGCACAAAACGATCACGCTAGTCTCATTTCCTTAGGAAATCAGGCTAAAATCCAAGCCTGCCACTTATTCAGATTCCACCCTATGGCATCTGCAGCCTGTGCTCCGCTCAGAAATAGCACTTGTTGCTAATGGAAGCTGTCAATGACCCTGCATTGACAAACTGCCACCAGAGTGCTCTTGATGTGATTTATTCCTGCCATCATTAACTCCACAGCCCACTAGTTGAAAGGAGGGTGATGACTTCCAAGACAGACGGAAAAGACGGGCAGAAATAGCACTCAGCAGGAGCAGACTCAGTGATGATGGGTGGAAGCAGGTGACAGCCTGCACTCTCACTTTAGGACATATATAGCACAGTAGGGGATTTAAAAGGAAGTAGCTGTGAACGTAAACTGGAAAAACAGGACTACAGGGTGATTCACAACGTACGGCCAGGTTCCTGCTTTCCTGATTGGCTGTTCCTAGTACTTCATTCCTACTCTTCCCCATCCCAGCCTGAATATCGTAACAGCCTTCAGTGGCCTTACCTTTTTTCGGGTTTAGGTTGGAAAATACTGCAAGCAGCTCATGGAAGTGCCAAATGACAGAAGAAACGGAAACGCACATGGGGAAGCCAGTCATCTGGCTCCCCTACCTCCTCTTAAAAAGGGATCGTTTCCAGGGTCACAGGGGATCACGGTGCCTCGGCAAATGCTGATGCATCATGACTTCCAAACAGCTACCGGAGTTCCCGTGGCATGCTGACTGCTCTTTGAAGCTCTTCCATACGTGTGAAATCCCAAGGGCTGGGAAGGAGTGCAGACAGTGATGGTATCACTCGTCTGCGTACTCTTGCCTCCTGTGCAAGTGGGTTCCTATGAGCTTTGCATTAGCACTTACATTAGGCTCCCATTTCATTTAAATTCTAAATGTGACCTTTTCAGAATAACAGGACATAAGAAGAAAGGTGGAGTCCTTGGGGGTGGGAAATTTCTCTCTCACTATTAACATGTCATTCAGAGCTGTCATAGCCAAAGACAGACTAAACATGAAACTTTTATTCATCTTTTTGTGTAGGTAGTAGTGAAGCTTATGAAATACATATTGAGCCTTTCTAAGTATTTGACAAATAGAGATTACCTTTTTATCCCTAAAACCTAACTTGTTCTACTTGCTAAATAAGGACTGTAGCAGGAAACTAGAAGCAACAAAGAAGTAAAATTTTATTTTTAAAAAATAATTAAAACCAACAAATAACTTATTACAAAAACTCTACTCTGGCTGCATATTGACTTTTCAAAAAGAGGCAGCAGTAATTTATTGAAAAATTGATTTACCATGCTCCAAACTTTCAAATGACAAAAGAGGCAAAATAATTGTAAAAATCTCAAAAAGGACATAGAGAAGCTAGAGAATCATTAAAAATGAAGGATTCTTACCTCTTATCAAATGCTTCTTTGAAGCTTTGCACTTAACCATAAAGAAATAAAACAAGCACTTTTTGATATACAGGATGGAAACTAGGATAAAAACTGTAGAAACATATAGGCATGTGGACATCAGAGGAGGATGTACAGTAATTTCTTTGGTGAGTTTCAGAACATAGGGATGGGGAAAAGAAGGAGAAGTAATAAAAAGGTAGGAGCAGTTCCATGTGATTAATACTTATGTTTCAGATTCAAATGGTTAAAAGCATGGTGCTTGCTTACCTTTCACAGCGTGGTCCCACGTACCCAGTTGGGCATTCATCGCATATTAATCCATGACTTCGGTCAAAATGGCATGTCGGGCTAAAGCTGTGTTGTTGATATTGGGCAAGAAGCGGGACAAGGAAGAAACATAAAGAAAAGATTTTTAGCAGCATAGTTCTGCTCCTACTTCAGCGACCATTAATTTGCAAAACAGTGCCTGGGAAGAGTGCTTCTCGTCTAGCACGTGGGGCTTAAGTTGACTCCAGCAAATAGAATTTGGAATGACTTTGCTATTTCTGCCGACCCTGAATATAGTGTAACGGATGGCAGCATCCCAATAGCCTGTTATTACGGGACCTAAGCCTGCCACCGAGTGGTCTGTATACCATCAAAAAGGCAGGAATGTACAGCTGTTTGTTTGTGCCCCTGAGGACCTGGCAAAACAATCTATGCCATAATATGGCCCCTAAATAAAGCTCTCCGAAGGATAACTGATTTGAAAGCTCACTTAAGTGTGTGCACAACCGACTGTGAAAGGAACCCGCTGACCAAGAAAGGGGAGGAGCAAAAAGGAAAATCTGGTGCAGGAGTGCATTTGAGTAAATCTAGTGGCAAAGACCTAAAGCAACAGGCCAGACCGTCACACTGAAGTTTAAGAATAGCTTGCATAGTAGAAAGCTTTATCTCTTTGCTATGCTCAACTTATTTTAGCTGTGATTTTACAAATAGGGATACCATAGTATTTGCAAGCTTCACCTCTTGATGACTGTGTTTAACTCCTAGCTGTGCTCCTTTGCTTTTTTAGCATTTTGCATTCTGTAAATTTTTTTCCTTAAGGCCCTTTGATGAGGAAACCTCCTGACAAAAAGACACAAACTGTTCAGAAGAAGAGGCAATTTATTCTATCATTTGGAGGCGCTCATCAGAGATACAGAAATGTGGGCACCTTTATGGGGCCTCCTGTAAATAATGGTAATCAATTCTAGTCAAACAGCTTAAAAAAAAAAAGAAAAAGAAAAAGAATGCAAATAGGAGGAAGTATATAGCTGGGTGACTAACGTGAAAACAAAGTACCTATCTAAAAAAAAAAGATAGTAAAACAACTTATCTTTTTAGCCTAGCAAAATGGAACTTGAGAAAGAATATAACTGCTCTTACAAAGACATCAGAAAGAAGGCACATAAGGTACATCTATGGTAAAAAAACATGTTAGAACAGTAACAAACAGAAGTAATTTGACCATGGATAAATTAAAGCAGCATATATGAAGAAGGTTTCTGGAAAATAATAGACACAGTGAGACCAGAAGAGCTTAATCAGGATTATGTAACATGATTACCTGCTGGTGACTAGACTCCATTACTCAGGAGTCATAAATCCTATGAGCTGACCTCAGTTATTCTTTCCTTTGTTTCTATTACAGATTCACAGACCCCCTATCTGTCACAAGATAAGTTTTCCCACAGATATATGAGAAATCAATAAGAAAAGTGTGGGCAGATCAGGTGCAGTAAACATCCTCTTTCCCATTAGGATTATGTTTGTGTTATTTTGCAATATCTTTCAATTAAAAATGCAATTCAGGAATGTATGAGGAGCCAGTTGGTGAAATAAGAATTGATCCTCTAATTTTAAATTGCAATGGAAACAATTTTAAACTGAGGTACATATTATCATTGAATGTAATCAGCAGCACCTACTTTTCAAATAGGATCCGGCTTGTCGGTCCTAACGTTGTTCTTTCACGAGAGCTACATGGAGCTACAAGCTTTAATGGAGATACTATCACAGCTCACTATAGTGTTGCACTAGACTGGCTGTTCCACAGATCCACTGAGAACTCAGAATTCAATTGTATCAGTTACAAAGATAATAAAAATTAGCTATTTATTTTTAATAAGCAATAACAATTAATAACAGAATTCTCACATTTTAAGCGTTATGCTCAGATCCAGTGTCCTTTGAGTCTTTCTCTGGCTTAATAGTCAATCCACATAGGAAAATTAAACATTAATATATTGAGAAATTCCTATTTGCATATAAAGGAAATGCGTGATAGCAAGGTGAGAAAAGGAGAATTTATCTTCCTGAGATTCAGAATCTCATTACGTACTAGTGATAAATTCTAATGAATGGTGTGCATTCATCAGACAAAACAAGCTTCAAAAAATCTTAGACCCGAACTAATCATCATTGTTCTTTTCAGAGTTTTTACATATGGTAACAAGATTCACATTGACCCATGTCCTGACTCATGTTAATACACAGTTATATATAAGCGTATATAGTATATGTTTATATATTTTGGTAGATAAGGCATTCTAAAGGCTTACAAATACTTTACAGAAAACATCTGTCTGGAATAATTACAGATTCATGATTTCTAATTAATGTTCCAAGAAAACATTAAAAATTTTGAGACCAATCAGATTTCCTGGTCATGACACTTCAGTCATGACCTTCTCAAGACTGAGTGAGATATGTTCTAGCTCCCATATCCAAGGATATAACATTCTTGTTGGGGTCTTCATCACCCATATTAAATTTACCAGTACTTCAAGAGTCAAGAGTAAAGCAGTAATCCCAGACAGCTACATTTGGTAGAAAGAACTTTGTAGTAGTATATCTGATAATTTATTTGAAAAAAAAAGTTTGTATGAAACTCCTTAAAGAGTAAGAATGTTAGAACAGTTTTTAAGAGTGATAAATTAGTGAGAAGAGATAAGAGAACATTCAAATAAGTATTATATATGCCATTTATAATATGGGTATCTCATTTGCATCCTGTAAGTTCAGATACAGAGATATTTTCAAAAAGAGGAAAACATAGCCTAGTATCTAGAAAACAAGCCTAGGAAGCTTAATAATGGTTTTCTGATTTTTCTCAAACGTCTGTTCTGACATATGGCAAGTCACACATCACTGTTGTGCCTAAGAATGCGGTTTCATGATTGGCTTAAGCCTTGTATATGGAAACTGCTGCCATAAGGAAACAGGAGAGGGGACAGGCTGCAGCTAACCGTGCTTAAGTGCACCTTGAAACTACATCATCATCACATTTGTAAAACAGGTAGAAGAGTTCTCCTCTGCCCTATACGGCATTGCAAAGAAAAAAACACAGATTATTGGGTGCTGTGAGAACAGTGATGGGAACCATTATAAACATCATAAAGCCGTAAGACCTTGCTATAGAAGACAACACTGATCTATTAATATCTCTCAGAGGTTCATTACACGGACAATATTCTGTGTGCACCAGTGCCTAGTGTTAAGCTTAGAGATCTATGGATGCGCAGTCACACCATGTTAGGAACTAAATACTACAGCAATTAGAACCTGAAGACTGCTATTTATTGAATATATTGAATATATAAACTAGTAACTTATTAGGGTCTTCAGAAGTTAATGGGACAAAAAAAGATGGGGTCAATTATTATTTTTTACATATAGTATAAATGGTATGTTTAGAAAATTTGGTCCATGATGATAAATGAGGTTGAAAATATAGGAGTAATACAGGAATTTTTAGGTATAGGAATCATTTGGAGAAGACAACTGGGGGGAGAAGGGTAAACTACATCTATAAGAAATTTCCAAGCTTATATCACCCTAATCTTTCACCTGAGGGACATGTGAAGGCACCCAAGTTGTCTACAGACACTGTCCCTAGCATACCAAACCCAATGCCAATTGACAGTTACGTTTAAATCGATATAGCATTAAGGATAAAAAATGTGTATTTTAACTATCTTCAGAGAACATATTTACTCCTTTAACAGTCTCTTCTTTTTCTCATAAAGCACGTTTAACAACTAGTCTAGAAACGTAAAATCAGGAGAGCTTGAGCTTTACAATAAGAGTTCTACAAAGCTTGAGGATGTTGCTCACAGTTTTGCTTTTGTCCTTTTTAGAAATAGGGAGCAATTCTACAGGTCTAATCTAGAGATAAACTCTGTAGGGTTCAGGACACCCACAGTTCCACAGTTCAAGAATAGTTACATTCTGTATTTGTTTTGGACCTACATTTTTCAAGAAAATGTAATATCAAAAAGGGACTTCTTTTCAAAAAAGAAACACAGCCAAAAACCTGATGAATACATAATAGAGGTCTCCAGGCATTTTGCCAATAAAAACCTAAATCCAATCCATTTGACTTGGTTTGTTGCACATCTGCACGAGATATAAATGTGACAGTATTTTTCCTGATATGTCAGTAGTGTTCACAAAGAAGAGGAAGAGAATTCACTACCTCTGCAATGAAATGCTAAGTATGTGAAAGCAATGAGGACATCAGGGGAACCATGCCTGAGCAGCAGACATAAACCTATGTATATCTAATGAAATCATCTGTATAGAACTATGGCAACAGGAAGGCAGGCTGCCATACTACAATCTCCTGGAATTCCTGACAATAAGGAATAAGGAGCTCAGATAATTCCTTTCCTTATCAATGCAATTTTAATGTGGAACAAAGCCACCCTAGCCAACTGTTAGCCTGAAATAATTAAGAGCAAAATTCAGGTCATTTGTGCCCTAGGTTAGCATATTGCCATTCAGATGGTGTTCTCGTCTTCACTTGCCTAGGCCTATGTTCTGAAATGCTTATATGGACTAATGATCTCTTTTCAGAAGGGAGCGGCATCCAATTTATGGCTAGAATTTGGGTAAGCATTAGTGATCACTGCAAAAACATCAGATATGTACTCAGTGGATCCTGATCTTCCTGTACAATCGTTTGCTGCACTGCAGGCCAGCACCTCTTCTGCAATGATCTGGACATGTGCTGCTTGCTCGAGGCCTCCTTCTGTCTGAAGCTATTCTGGATGGCATAAACCAAATACATTAATTCAAACTGATACACTTAATTTCAAATGTATGTATATGCACAAGAAAAGCTGACCATCAGCCAAGATTCTCATTTTTTTCCTTCAAACACATCATGCCAAATGATTTTGGTATTCTTATTTTCCAGATACTGCCTGGCAGGAAAACCAGTTAAAAATGTTCAAGCCATTTGTTCAACTAAGTTAGAGGCAGTTAAGTAGCACAGGCAACTTTTTGCAATGAATTGTTCTTAGATCATAGTTTTGATTAATTTTCCACTTTTTTCAGTTGATGAAAAAAATTTATAGTGATTATTCTGAGATATGGTAATGAAATATTTTGACTTGCAAGATTTAAGGCTAAATTCAGACTCCAAATGAATCAACACTACCACTGAACGTTGCCAGGAGGAAAAAAAAATTAAAGCAGAAGGAATCACAGTCTTATTTGGTCAACCTAAATTGATTTTCAAAAATCAATTATTACAAAAAAGTCACATATCAAATCTGTACCTTCAACTTTAAAACCAGAAACAGTTACCCTGTAAAGAAAGCAGAAAAGCTAACAATAATTATTGATTAAAACAAAAGAATATTTGTCTAAAATTCTAGGTTATCCTTTCTACCCTAGTCTCAACTAGCTTTTGCTTTGTTTTTTGCCTCTCAGCTGCACTCTGTGCAACTGTAAATTAAGAATACAAGTTTATGTTACAGAATTATTATTTAGTTAAAAAACAAAAACCCTCTACTATACATGTAAAAGTATCAATTACAAGAATACAATTGACTAAGTGAAGAATTGTAATTACAATAAATATACATCTTACTTGTTAGAAGATATACTTAATGGGCAAGCACACAGCTGACAGTCTTCAGCTGTCCCTTTAGTAGGATCTCCATAGAAACCAGGAAGACATGTATCACAATATGAACCACCTGTGTTGTGTTTGCAGTCCTGAATAGAAGATGAAAAGTACATGATGTCATTTCAAATTCACAATTAAGGTTTTACATATGGAACAGTCCCTAAGGTCATTCACGCTGGCCGTTCTCTCCACAGGATTGTAAGTCTACAACGCGTATTTTAGTGTTCTGCTGTTCAGCTGAGAACCAGTTCTGTAACAATCAGTGCTTCATAAACACCAGGTATTTGTGTTCTTTTAGATATTTTTTTCTATTCAAAACAAAAAGAATATTTAACTGCAGCCCTTTACCATTCCAGTGTACAACTACCACGTTCTTGTTGCAGTTTGCTTAAAAGAAACCACCCGTCAGAGCAGTATGGAACAGGTTTATTAGTGCAGTCTTACAACAGACAATATATTTTTGAAAAAAAAATTACAAGTTTCAAATGCTGATCCTGAAATACAGCTCAGACTGTGTAATATATAAGAAAGAATTATTACATTTCACATCTAAGTGCCCTAAGTCATTTTATAAGGTATATGGCTGGCGATATACTAAATACATTTGCGAACAGTATCAAAGCCTGAATTGTTTAATTAACACTTGTTTTTAAGGGTAATATCATTATACCATTAATACCATATTTTATGGGTAGAAAATAAGGATGAGTATAAGACTCTCTCTAATAATTTGTGTTTTTGTTTGTGTCTGGCCTTCGTAATACTAGAGATAGTTTATCTAAGCATACTAAGCATCCAGAGTACCCGATAAAATTGGCAGCAGTAGATCTGCATGTCAAATGACATTGTATTTGTATAACCTTTGGCTTGATCTCAAATTAAATGCTTTTTGCCAGAATCAGAATGAGTCCTCTGAGAATAGGCTTCACATGATGACCTGTAGAAACAGATGCTGCTAAGTCTTAGAGAATATTATGATCTCTGTGCATTTTCTTCTTTCTCTTCACCACTTAGGATTTATAAATCCTAAATAATTTAGCTGGATCCACCACAGGCTCAGCAAATTAGTTTTTTGACTTAAACTCCTTTGTTTTGTTTCCCACATTTTTAGCACACCAAACTATTCCTTTCACCACTATTTGCCACAAGCCTTAGGCAGTGTGAAGACAGAGAAAGCAGCAGAAATGTTTTCAGCCATTGAATGCCACCTTAATGCGCTCAGGTTGAGAAACTGTATGCCAGTTTGAAAAGGTCAACACAAAAGCCATGAGAGGGACTGTATCTAATGGTGGTGGTGGGGGGGGGCAGGGCAGGTGGGAGAACTGAATTGTTTTAATCTGATTTAGACCACAGGTAAGCGCCAGATCACATCGAGAATCTTGGTTTCATCCTAAAATTTTGTCCAACCTGCTACTTCAGAATTCTTGATGTTTTCTAATACGAGTAGGTATTTCCAAATTGGTGATTTAATTAAAAATATTTAAAAAAATACATACTTTAAAGCTGTCTTCTCATTTACAAAAGAGCTACTTGGCAGCTCGTCATGCATGTGGTGCTCACTGATTTTTAATAGCATTACTGCCTTAAGCATGCAACATTCTTTTAATAAAGGATAAAGAAAATGGAACTATTCTAAGGAACTGTGTGTGATTTCTTCTTCAGGACCTTCCAGGATTGCAATGATTTGTTGAATATACTTGGGCAGCTGAATGAGTAAAATACACTTTTCATTCATAAGCACAGAGGAGTCAAAAGCATCTGTTTCTAGAAATGCTGTTTACTTCCAGAGGTTGCATTCTTATTGCTTGTGTATACAGTCAGCATATCTTTGGAACAAGAGCATTAGCCACAATACTACATTTTCACATAGTCAGTAGGTCATGAGCAAATACCAACTATTAAGACCTCTAGTCAAATAAAATTATGGCTGTAGAGCCTTTAGCTGGGTTAAATCTACTTCATTAGATCATTTAAGTCCATTTGATTTTTTACTTCAAGTGCTAACATTCAAAAAGATTCTACCAGCCATGCTTAAGAGAAACTGGGAACATTAAGATACGCTTTTAAAAGAAGTTATGATAAAAATAATTTCAATGTTTCAAAAGAAAAACCCTTAACAATTCAACTTTTTTAAAGCATCATGTCAAATTATTTGTACTTTATCTGAAAAATAATGGATTCTTCTTTTGAGTTAAGTTTAGCTTTAAATATTCTCAGACATATCTTAATGTTTTTCAAGAATATGAACTACTTATATGTCAAGGATGTTATTAAAGTGAGGGGAGCTAACAGACTATTTTAAAGCAATGTCTCTCTTAGACTGGTATTTGCAGCTGCTGCTGTTTTGTTAAGTTAAAAAAAAACCTTCCATTTTGTAAGAAACCAATTCATATTACAAAGAGCTGACCTTCTCTTTCATGAATTTATTTTTTAGAAGTCTTACATTAGCCATTTCTGTGTATAGCTTCTAACTCTTCTCAGTCCAGATCTCTATATCTGCTTATTTCCTCACCAGGCCTCAATAATTAAATTTAATAATAAAAAGAAAAACACTCAGGTACGGTGCCAAATCTGAGCATATGTTGCATGGTGTTTATGTTATAGTACAGCTGAAAGATAATGATCCAGTGTGGTCCTATATTTTTCTCCCTGAGCAAGACTTTTATAGATCAAGACAGTCTTTCACATTGGCTAGTCAGGAGGCTGCAGGATGAAGAAGAAGAATTATATAGTGAGCAGATGTGACATAATTTGCCTGTTCCCTTCTCTATGCATTAAACTTTATACTCACCTGCCAAATTTATAGATCAACTTAAGCACTGAAGTAGATAAGTTAATAGCCCTTCTAAAGATTTTATCATTACCCATGAAAAATTTGTGTTTCCTTGTTAGCAGTGGGTCTAATCTCAGTCTGAAACTTGCCAACTGTATGGCTTCAGCACAGCAATGGTTTTGAGCATCATCTAGTTTAAGCAACATCTAATTGCACTGAGATTATTTCTTTATAACATGCTTAAGCACATCAACTTTTAACTTCATGTCCATATGAACATTTAATTTCCTTGTTTGTGTCATGGGACTGGGTATAAAGAAGATCACGATGCACTGTCCCTGAACTGCTTAGTATACTATATATATATGCATATATATATTTATATTTATACACACACATATATACATACACACACACATTTTCTCTTTTACTCCCTTGGAAACGGATTTTGTTCCGGCACATTGATCTAGTGTTTTGGGGATAATCAATGCCCTGTTCCATGGATCCATAGACATTATGGCCAGGAACTTTTTCCTGTTCAAATCTTTATGCTTTCAAATTCCAGGTGTTGGATCTCAAAACATTTTGAATGCATCAAAATGGACCTCTTCTATCTCCAAATACTATCAGACTTCACTTAGACAAACTCTGAGTAAAAAAGACTGTGAAGACTGGATAATTTCAATGAAATTTTTTTCTTTAAAAATTTTATGCGTGGATCAGACCTCATTGCCCAAAGACTTAATTCCTGATGTCCTAAATTGTGTCTTCCACTACTTCCTACTGAGCCAGCCAACCAATCTTGGAAGAAACCAAACGAATATCTATATGTCCAATCTCAAGGAACCCTAAATTCAGACTGAAACACACCTCTGCTTGGCTGGGTATGCAGCTGAGTGCATATGAACATATAAAGATACAGTATAAATAGAAAGCTAGGGATGAAAATAAAACTTTAATCAGGGAGTATGACTGACTCCAGGAAAGTATCTTTGGCATGCTAATGCCCTTCTTTAGGATATCTGTCACAGAGAAAATCAGGGAAGTTGCTTGGTTAAGCTGGTTAAAGAAAGTGAAAGGATACGCCTTATACGCCTATCTTAGTAGATTCCCTGGTCACCTAGGCCAGACAACTGTATTGTCTCTTTAGGAGCATGAATATGCTCTTCTGTCATTTTCAAACTACTGTAATGTCAAGACTACAGAGACAATTCCCTTGCCTGGTGTTACAAATATAATCTAAGAGTGTCGCAGAGGCTTTACATGTTTTTCACCTGTGGTATAGCCTATATTGTATTTAGTGGAAAGTCTTTCATTTTGTTACTGTGTCACGTAAAGATAGGTGAGGACATTTTGTCACTCCTGTGATGAAAACTGTTAAAAGCACAAAACATCCACTAACCCTGACACTGGCCTCAACCCAGATGGTATATGCTGTTTATATACAAAGGAATAAAATACAAAATGGAGGCTGCTGGGGTCTATCCACTTACCGATTTGAACACATCCTGGGTGGGGGAAAAATCTTGTTTTCTCTGGGCTTACTGTTAGGAACATAATGCATTGCAATTAATGAAACACCATGGAGTGTTTTTGCTCTTCACAAGGATTAGGCTTAGCCAGCCTCCTAAAGCTACGGTAAATGTGCGTATGTAACGCTACAAAAGAGTACTTCTGTATGTTAGCACTTGCCCTATGTACCAAAGCAGTTATCACGTATATCACAATGGGAATGAGAATGATATATCATGCAGCTCTCCATATGGTTGCTGGGGATCAAAGGGCTTTGCAGGTTACTGCAAGGTATGCGTTAGAAATGAGCATTTTATACAGGCCTGTGTTGGAGCAGATGATCTGAGCTTTTATCATGAGTCAAAAACATATTTCAGCTGCTTTTCAACTACATTTCAAAGCTAAGGAAGAGTAAAAAGAAGTATCATATCAGTAAATTAGGTGCCTAAATTGTCTGTTGTATTACTGAAAAAACACCATGAATAATAATAAGGAGGCCAAAAGGCTGTGTAAACCTCAATAGAAAGAACGCCTTTGATGTGAGACATTTCTCTTTTTGAGCATTCAGAGTTCTCTCTCCTTCACTTCAAAAGGCTTATGATCCAAATTGAGTAGCAGCATTTAATAGTCTGCATGGATACTAACCAATTTAACTTCACTTACAGTGTTTTCAAAGTAAGCTGCAAGAAAACCCCAAACTGCTTTTCAAGCAACCTGTCCTCCTCCTCTTTACAGGATGACCTAGTATAAGCTCAGACAGAACATGAGAAGTACAGAATAAATGCATGATAACCTATACAGAAAAAAATACATATTGTGTGTTATTCATTTCAAGTGGCTATTTTCAACTTCCTTTTCAGCGCTGTGTTATCTCTACACCAGCACCCCTTGAAACATCAGATGGGGGAGCTGTACTAGCTCAGTCGATAGTTCATATCAGCTGAAAAGTGCAAAAGCACTACAGTACGCAATACGTTTGCACTACAGTATGAGCCTTCTCTCACATCCCAGGGAGGTGCTATAAAGAAAAATAAAGAGGGAACCTCTTTGCGCAAGGGCTAAGACTTGAAGGCACAGAAGCAGCTTCAGAATGCCATCTGTCTATCCACCTCTAAGCAAAACAGTCTGTAGCTATGATATACCTTAAACAGCATTGCCCCTTTCCTTTCTTTTCTGCTAACAGATTTTATCCCACACTGATGTTATAGACCTCATAGCTGGAGGCCACAATCATTAATGTAATAAATTCTATCTTTGTCAAGAGAGACAAATTTATATTAGCCTAGTGATGAATATTTTCACCGCATATAAGTGAAGGATTCAAAACGTGACTGTCATGTAATACACAGATTTTTCATTCTAGGTACTTCTTTAAAGCTTACTGTATAATTAAATTGAGAATCATTTTAAGCTTCTGTTTATGAAAAAGCAATCTGAAAAATTCACTGATCCACAAATTAAGGATATCTTGTATTGTACTGCAATGCAATTAAACATCTTGTATGGGGAAAACAGGAAGACCAGTGATAATTCTAAATGCCAAATTACATTGTAAAAAGCCTGAATTTTCATTTTGGACTTTTCCCAGCAGCTTTTTCTTAAGGAAATAAAAGGGAACATTTAGAAACATGCACAATACAGAGTCTGCTTGAAATTCTGCAGGGAAATGAGAGTATGATATCCCACTAAACTGGCACTGGCTCAAATTGTGTTTCTGCAAGACTAATGAAATGAGAAATGTTGTTTCAAGCTTCATGCCACGTCAGACAATATAAAACTAAAATGCCCTTGAGTTAATCAGAACAGTCTATTCAGCATAATTCACCTATTTCAAAAGGCTACTGAATGGGCTGGAAATAGTGGTATGCTGGTAGGCTTGCTATGGATAATATCATGGACTGAATTGCTGAATTAGTTGGTAACTATATAATAGCTCTGTATCCTATAAAAATAAGTTGAATTAGCCCAAACCATGAGCTTTTATTAATTTTTTTAATTATAATTTATTAAGCGTTTCTTCAAGGTTTACTAGGAAGCTAGATGAAGGAAGTCGTTAACAATATCTTCATAACATACTTGAACAGAATTTACCAAGTTGCCTACTACATACTGTAAATAGAATGAATACACCGCAGGAGACAGATGGGAGGGGGAGAGAGATCTTGCATGGAAGATCATTGATATATTTTGCTGCTCTCTGCATGCCACATTTTATGCTATTGATCCTATTTCAAAACATAAATCTCATGTGAATAAAAAATTCCTTTTGTTTAACTGTAGAAGCTCTCATATCCTCATAGGAGGAGATCCTTAACTTCAGCAATAGTTCAACACAAAGCTCTGTTCTGTCAATCACTGCTTTTTCTCCTTGAGTACTCCAAGTCCCAGAGGTGGTTAATTCAATTACATCGGTATATCAAACTGATCTTGGTCAAGTCCATCAGATCTCTTGCATGTAGTGACACTTACCAGGCATTTTCCTGTGATATCATCACACAGTTCTGCATGACCAAAGCATGTACATGGTGCACAGACTCCACCAAAAATCGTGCCGTTCACACGCCTGTGCTGAGGCCAACAAGACTGCAAGGAAGAAAACACGTTAGCTAAAATGTTAAATGCTGGTTGGAACAGCGGAAAGAATAGGATTTTGAAAATATTACCGAATTTGATACTTGCACACCCAAAAAGTACTTGTTAAGTGACTAAAAATACTAACATTTCTCTAGAAAGCTGTTCTTTCTGGCACTATGGATTTGCACTGACATCAGCTTTATTGGTAGGTGTGAGATTGGGCGAACCCTTAACTTGATCATTCTTCTGAAATGGTAAAAGAAAGCAGAGAAATGAAGACTTGAAATATAACCGCATCAAAGAAAGAGGTACAGATTGAAAAATAGCCAAAAGGCAAAATCCTGAAAGAGAGAGAGAGAAGGAAAAAAAAACCCAAAACAACAAAGATCTTTTTTTGAGAAGCTCAACTGCAAACAGAAATTAAAATACCATTTAGTCTTTCTTGTTTCAGAGTCTGACAAAAGACAACACTGAATTAAAACACAGGCTGAAAACAAAGCTACCCTTTCATTTACAAATTGTATTTCTTAAATATAAAGTATAGTAATTTCCCTTTAAGAAGATGCTCTGATCTTTTTTAATGTTAAATTCAGATCAATATTAAATGCAAAGTCTTTTTTATTTTTTATTTTTTATTTTTTTTAAGAACTGTGACATCTTAAAACTGTGATTCATCAGCAAAAATTCAGCTATTCTGTTTCTTCATAATAAGATGTCAGGCAGCAGTCTTTCTTACTATATATCTCAGAAATGGCTTTACTGTTTTCCAAACTATCTTTCCTGTATAAGACTGCTCCTATGATCCAAGGATTTCGCATAATATAAAAAGGTGCATGACAAAGTGTTGACCTTGAAGAGCACCTGCCTAATATAAAGAGGAGGTAGTTTTGTAGTGATAGACTACTAAAACTATTTTAAGTAAAGAAAATCCCTTTCCCTCCATACACATTCTCAAATAGGTAAAAAGAAGTTTCACCTTTATAAAAATAAAGTCAAAATCCCTTTTTTTCTTATTCCTGTAAAATATGAAATTAATTCAAAGATTAGTTGAAAAGATTTTCTTAAGAAACATTACAAAGAATGAGCGATGTTCTTATTTTTTATATTTTCATTCTTGGTTACGCATTCCTAAGATAAACTGTAAATACTAAAAATGTAAATTCAGTGTTAAAAAAAAGACCTTAACAGAAATTGTTGTATTTTTCCCATACTGCACAAGATGCAATTGCCTAAGCTGTTTTAATCTTTTTCCTCTTTCGTAACCTATACATAGTGATTCTGAAAAGAATGATCTCATGCATGGATGTACGTGATACTATACCTGATAAGGCTTTGAAAGTCACTAATTCTAAAGGGCTTAAACACGAGTTCTGATGATGGAATATAAGAATATGATTTAAAAGAAAAATTTACAGATTGAGTTTTTAAGAAAAAGAATAAATATATATAAATATAAAAGAATAATTAAAATGTCAGGAAAGTTCTTGACCATCATAGTAGTGCAAGTTAAACAGAACTTCTTCCATAGTGGAAGTAAAAGAGTAAGTAGAGAATAAATCTGGTAGAAAAGAGCAAATAGGTATGAAGATGTTGAGAAGTAAAGCTGGGAAGATTCACTTGAGTAGAACAAAGAAACAATCACAAATCCGTCCCCAAGGTATTTGAAATTTAAAATTGGAGCTGCTGTAGCTGTGTTTATGTAATTCTATACTCAGTTCTCAGATATGCTAGGAAAATATAGCAATTTTCTTTGTATAGAACCCTGCGGAAAATTAATTTCAAATTTGTACAATGGAAGAGTCTCACAAGAGATAGTATATTTTAAATGGGATTGGATGGCTTCTAGAGACTGATCACCCCAAAACATTCACAGTAATAATGTAAGTAAATAATGGTTGTCTAGTGCTGCAGCACCTATGCCTGGTACCTCAATATCATTATGCAGGAAATAAACACATACCTTAAATTATATGAAGAACAGAAAATTAAACTGAAAACCTGCAGAATATCAATAAATCTGTACTAAGTTGAAACTTGAAAAAGCAAGGTGTTAGATAATGCCAACAGTGTTCAGAAGAAACAAATATGATATTCTAAAAAATTCCACATTTTCAATTTTTTTGTCAATACTTTTTCAACCACTGGCTTCTCTGGCGATTCAAAACTTTACGGGATTCTTTCTTACTTCTCCTAGTCAAAAGAAGCCAACAACCGTCTACTCAGAACACAAAAAATATTTTCATATTTTGCTATCAAGGACAACTGTCCAACACAGATCAAACGTTTAACCTGTGTTAGAGAAGGCTCACGAGAACTGATTTTGGTGAATAAATACATGGAAACTAAAACTTGTAACTGTGTCATTGTTATTCTGAAACAGGCCAGCTTTGACTAATGGCATGTCTGAGCCATTTAAAAATGCTCTGAAATTCAGTGAGGGACACAGGTAAAGTGTGCTCATACAGAGGTCAGTCAAATCTTCTTGGCCTTCAGCCTTAGGAGGAAACCCAAAACACAGGTAGGGAGTATGATATGGTATACTCCAAGAGGTCTGCAGTTAGGACCACCCCAGGCATGCACTGTGACTATGGGTTCACTGAAGGGTCTCCATGTCCACCAGTGTACGTACAGGCTTCAAATTTGCAGCAGTCTGCATATGTTCTTTGTATTCTGGGATCCGATCTTACATATATATATGTATATACAATTTCAAGGATTGTTTTAGAGATAACATTATTGTTATTGGAGATAACATTAGCATTGAAGGATACAATACAGAGAGAAAATTTCAGCAACATCAGGGCAGGAATTCTACCCACATAGTACCGCTTCTACAGCAACAGTACTTACAGAAACATCTTCCAAATTTTTACCTGGCAATCAAAGCTAAACATGAACTGCGAGGAAAAATGAACAGGTCAAAAAAAATTGTGAAGTATAATGGCACTTCATCCAACCTCTTCCTCATATAGTTGAACAGATAGACAATGGTTAGATTTCAAAAGAGTCCTCAGCCAAGGTAGGCAATATTCTTCTCCTATTTTTTTCCTTTCTATACCATTTCGGAAGTGATAGAAATATCCGTTAATTCCTTCAGGTCTCCTTTCTAGATTAGTTTATCAAGCCCCAGAAACAAGCAAAAGCATTTGGCATGAAACTAGACTCTAAGCCCTAAATATCACACATAAGCATAGAATATTTTAAAGAAAAAGAGAGTTGACAAGCAAATGCCTAGAGTGCCTGTGTAAATGGCACACTGTTTGTAGTTTTGTGAAGCAGAGCATCTTGGTGTTTGAAACTATTTCCTTAAGGCAAAGCTTATGAAGAATTTTTTTTTGCTCATATTTACCCCAAGCTATGCCCACGTGAGCTAGTTAATCATATATGTACTCGCATGAGCACATTCTGTGAGCACTAATGAACCTGTGGGAAAACATGTATTTTCTGAGCATGTTTGTATGTTATAATTTTCAAGAGGACTGAATAAAAGAGATTCACAATTCTCACAAACAATCCTCAAAGAATCTAAAGCAAAAGATAAATACCTGGGGAAACAGAACAGGAAACTCAACCACATTAACTCAGATAATGTGATACATCAGTGTTGTGCCCAGGTCAGATAACTGCCTTTTTCCTTCTAATATTGATAGTTTCCATGCATTTGTGATCTCAGTTGGCTGAAGAGTACAAGTATTGTTTTAGTTTTTTTTAATTAAGAGAAAGGTCTTTCCATAACTTAGAATTATCACCACAGAGGTGTAATACTTCAGTTTTCAAATATTAACAAATATAATGAACCACCATTTAGAAATAAAGGTAACTAGAGAAGCTATGCCAAGTTTATGAAAGGAATGGACAACTCTGCTATTTTATATCAACATAGGGCCAATGGTTACAACTGGCAATGTTAGCGTGGTTGATCCATCGTGATACTCACTTCGCAGGAGGTACCATCGTACCCTCGGGGACAGTCACATAACTCCACTGCAGATGCCACCTTCCTCCCAGTTGAAGAGTGGTCAGCAGCTTCAATGCTAACTCTACGCAGTCTGGATGTAACAGAAATAAAATGGTTAATGCAGTGAATGAGACAGAAGTATATGTGACATTCACTCACTGGCTTGTGTATTTTGTTTAAAAATAAGGAGGTATTCATACTCATTTATTTATTTCTAGACTAAATGTCTGTGGGCTTGTTACTATTTTTGTCCATCATGAGAAGGAGACTATGGTCAGATACACAATTAAAAAAAAGTCTTACAGCCCTCTATCAGTAGAAGAAAGGTTATTCCTGGCCTGCAAGCTGCATGTTCTAACTTGTATTACAGCTGTATATACATACATATATACATATATATATATGTATATGTATACATATATACATATATATATATATGGCTTATTTCTCACCAACCAATGTCTTCAAAATTCATAAACCACTACCCCAGCTTTCTAAAATATTAAATTACTAAGCTTTGGTTATAAGGTATTTCTATTCTGGCAATTTTCTCTTTGAAAAAAAGATTTCAGCTCTGTCCAAGGGGATCTAAGTATTTTGTACATGAAAGAAAAAATAAATCTTCTAACATAAATCGTAGTTTCCCAAATGACAGAGAAGAGAAAATTGGGGAATTTTCTGTTCCACACACAATCTAGAATCAGAAAACACACAGAAAATTTACAATCTACCTGTCCTGCAATCCTTATAGCATAACCTGCATATCACCACTGTTTACCTCAGTAGCAACTAGTCCTAAAACCAGTAACTTCCACTATATCCTTTACGGAAAGGGAGGATGGGAAAAAAAGGTCAAGAAGTTAAAAATACTTGGCTGCTTAAAAGAAATGCTAGAATTCTCAGCCATTGTTTAGCCAAATACTGAATATGAGTTTTATTTAAAAAAAAATAAACATGGAAATACAATAAGAGAGACAGCCAAAGTCTCTCTGTTGATAAGCTCAGGGGTAATATGCAAGCTGGATGTAGTTTATCTCCACAGTACCCAAGTTGGAATTTGAGGATTTAATTCTTATGAGAATTCAGACAGAATTTGGGCACTACAGAGATTCAATGATACCTATTTTCACCTAGCAGTCTTAACAGAGTGTTTGATTACTAGAGCTACCTGAAAAGCTTCTGCTGAAATTTCTTTCAGCAGAAAATACCTTTCTATCATGATAGGCATTTTGTTAAAAAAATAATCAATTTTCTTTGGAAAAATGTAACAAACTTTTTTTCCTCATACTAAGACATTCAACTTTTGGCAGCCAAACATCCCCAAAATTACTTGGATGACCTTGGATAAGAAAATATCCAAGAAAAATATTTTGTTGTTAATGCAGTTGTGGGAGGAAAGGATGAGACAGGATATTTTCCCAGTCAGTTTTATGACTGTTCTCAATGAGACAGACATTAAAAGTAAGGGGAAGAGATGAACTTTCTGAAATCAAGGCAGAAGTTTCAGAAGAACAGAAATGCTACCATGACTGGAGAGACACCTGGAATTTGGAGAGACTACTATTGCAGATTACACAGTTAGAGACCGGAATCTAATTTGGTGATACTTTAACTTCTGCAAAAGGTTTTAGAAGCTGTTTTGAGAAAATGATGCACGTTTCTATCCAAATCTTCAGTAAGAGCTTTCTCACTTTTCAACAGTTCTCCTTCACTCCCTTGCTGCGCTCTTATTTTGCGATCATCTTTTTAAGTTTTCCTTACAATAAGCAACCTCTAGGATAAAAGATGCTGATGGTGATGACTTTAATTTTAAAAAAATCTCATAATTGAAGAGGAAAAATCTGTAAATGAAAAGGAAATGACCAGAAGGAGGCCAAATGTTATTTGTCCCTTGAACTACAGCTAGTTCCCTCCCAGCACGAAGTAACAGATCCTGGAAAAAAAGAGAAGCACTTACACACAGAAACAATCAACCCAGTATTATCCCACATTTGTATTCACTGAATTGCTCCAATTTTCATTAGGTTGTGCTATTTGCTAAATGGGATTTTAATGTGTTTAACAGTTTTTAGCATTAATAGTTACTCATTGAAGAAAGCTGCAGTGATTTTTTTCTTCTCATTTTGATGCTGTAATTTCTATTCCTCGATACCATTCTGCATTCAATAAAATACACAATGCTGGCAGTAATGGGGCACCAGATCCTGAAGATGCATGAACAATTTGAGATTCGACATCGAGACCAAATATTTAAGCTGACTGTTACTGTCAGCAGGCAACTGTTGACTTCTAAAAACAAACAAGATAAAAAGGGACGGGGATGTTTCAGGCAGTATCAACATAGTTTACTGTCTGCTATGCCAAGCATCTGAATCACATCAGCTACATGAAGTACTGACCCAATCATTGCTCATTTGTCTTGAAGCCAATTTTGCATATGGAAGAAAACCCTCTGCCTGTTCTTCCCTCTTCTCTCCCTGCCTCTGGTGTGATTCTATATGTGGTCGAAAGGAATCGTTGTCTTTAGCAGCCCCTCTATCACAGTGCCCAGTGTTCATCTGAGTGTCTACACTATTTACCATTAATGGTCACTCCCAATATTAAAAGTAAACAAACATTACTACTACAACTTTCCTTGCAGCACAAACAAAAAATATTAGATTAAACAACATGATACAAGACAGTTGTCTTTTCCTGGCCTGTTGCTGTGCTTCTACCACAGAAGGACTTAATTCCAACAGTTTGGAAGATCTGTCAAGTTAGAGCAGGATTTCCCAATTTAAACCCAGAAGCTGTGAAATCACTTTCAGATTGATTGCTGTGTTTCTCTGTTGTCGTTTTTCATCCTACTTGATCATCTAAATGAAAGCCCACTCATTTGAGGAAGCTTCCTAATTATGCCATAAAGCAATAACAACATTTTAAGCTTAAAATGTTTAAACTTAAAAGGACGCACAAATGTTCTCAAAAACATGTTCAAATCTAACCCAGCATTACTGCATTAATACTATTTAATAATTATTTGAAAGTGCTACTAATTGACTAATGCTTATAGTAGGCTAAGCAAACTAAGGGAGAAAAGGATGATCTTTAAGTTAATGCTCTTGCTAACTGGACACAACGCCATGGAATTCTCAGATGTCTTTCTACACGACTGCAAATAAGTGACTTAATCTTACAGTGCTTCTGTCCTTGTCTCTTCTCGAGCACAGATTATAATAGCACTCTTGGAAATCCTTATCCTTGTGGTGTCCTTGTGGGTTAGTTTGTTGCATAATTCTGCTGATGTTTTGAGGCAGAAATTGTCATTTATAAAGTATCTAATAACCCTGGAATACTTCTGCCTCTCTAACAGACCCCTTTTTCTCTCTTAGAGGAATATCCATCTATCCACTATGCATACCTTTCTAAAATGCAACAGAAAAAATCCTTGGACTTAGTTCCATGCTATTTTTCTGGCAAAAATACCTTCCTTTGGAGCCCATCAACACTAAGTCCTTAATCAGCATGAGATATTACAAAGGATATCTCCTTCACTGGGTCTGGACGTTTTCCCTGCAGTATTCCCAAACCTTGCAGTACCAAAGGGACAGAATACTGAAAGCAGAATTGTTTTGTATGATCTTAAAGAGAGTGACCAGTACAGCTTTGTGCCCAATATGTTTTAGCATGAGTTAAAGAGAAAATAGTCAGAACTGAACCATATACTGAATATCCGCACTATGCCTGCAACAACGGCTGTTGCTGCTAAGTCATGTGACTGAAAACATATACTGTTCTGTGAAGATTTAACTCCACCCAGCAAATCCCACCCAGATGGGTGAAATTTTGATTCCTCCACTGAAATCAAGGATGAAAAATTCGATTCATTTCATTGTGATTAGAATTTCACACCCAGTCTTTTGCCACACTTTAACTGCAATGAGCACACTGACAGCACTCAATAAAATGCATTTACTGAAGAGTAAACTACTTGTAGAGACTTTTGGGTGTAGGGATCAGTAACTATTGCATTTTTCTCTGGTAAGAGAGATCAGGGGGCAGCTAGAGATGTAGCTGTAATTTAAAACCACTTCTACCAAACAAGGTACTCTTCAAAATTATTTCAGCCCTTCCCCATACTCCATTTTAATCACTGTCTTTAAGAGACCTGCATTCCTAACTGTAATGTCCTAACTTCCTAACTTCAACTAGAATAGAGTTGCCATTAGCCTGCAAAGCATAAATTATTTTTTTGTCCTAGGCTCTTATCAAAGATTATTTCCAAAACATGTTTTTGGGAAGTTATTTAGAACACACCTCCAGAATATTCTAAAAGCTGAGGATGAACCAGACTGCAGGACCTTGAGGCACCATGCTGAGCTGAACAGCTACAGCATAGTCTGGGATGCAGGAGGCAATACACAGTCTTCCAGACCTGCCACTTCTTACTTTTAAGGTGCAAAGTACAGCCTGAGCCAGCTCTGTGTGTTTGTGCTGACCTGAGCTCTAGGCTGTAAGCCAGAAGGGCTCTCATCCCTCCCATCCCCACTGTTGTGTCCAGCAGTACAGGCAAGACTCAGCTAGTACATGTCCAGAACTGCACTTTCTTCCCAGATTTGCCAACTTAGAGACCTAAAATACTATTGTCTGGGCCATTGTTAATGTTGTAGTATATGTTCATTAAACAGAGAAAGCAATATACAAGCAGTATATCATCTCTTACTTGAACATGTCATCACTGCATTCAATGATTTACAGTATTCATGAGAATTACAGTGTTCACAAAATAAACCTATTTATGGAACTCATTCATGCCTTAATAGTCCATGTGATTTCATTTTCTTACAAGGCAACTTCTTCCTGTTGCCTCTCCTCCCTCTGCCTATTAAAAAAAATACAAACTGAATGAAAGTTTAAATGAATGTTAAGGCTTTCATGACAATAAGTTAAAGAATGTTTTTAAACTACATCAACTTTATTCTCTGTAGAAAGAAAACAGGCGTTTTGAGAGGCCGCCTGTAAAGAAAACCGACGTTTCCCACATTTACCTGTAGATGGCATTCATCCCATAGCTGTATGTAGCTCTTATGAGGATCCTCTTTACATTTGCAAGGACAGTCATGAACTCCCTCCTGCTAACTGGAACATCAGTGCCATACACAGAGAAAGATTCTGGTTTCAGCACAATTTCTTCAGTGTGTTCTTCAGAAGGCTGCAGGTGAATCCCTTCGTCTGGAGTACTGATTCTCAACTCACCTCCCTAGAAAGAGGCATATGAGAGAGACAATTAAATATGAAAAAAGATAGAACAAAAGCTGTATCACTTTAGCCACTTAGGGCACAAGATTTATTGAATAATATATTTTACATAAGTAATAAATATTAGCTATAACATTTATCTTCCACAACCATGGAAGGAGCTTGCCTGATAAAGTAAAAAGTTAGTGCAAACAAAAGGGCAGGTTATTCAACAAAAAGCTGGTATCATGGCTTTGTATGGGCATAAGGAAATTCATACAACCCTGAGCTGCACAGAACCTCTGGAAAAGCATGTGGAACACACCAACCAATTATTTCATTTCTTCGTTCTTCCTGATCAACAGAAAGAGTATAGTCTTGCAAACTACTCCAATACTGTCAGAGGCTCCTTCAGATACTTATTTTAGTTCTCTGAAATTGACTGTTTTCTGATGCTATAAATTAGCTGAAGGTACATCTACCATATTGTTTTGCATCCTCAACCACCAGACTTCACATTAAACACAGGAAGAGGTAGACCACTTTTTTTTTAGGGGCCGAAAATACAATCACTTTACCTCTATGATGACATCAGCTTGAACCATCATTTGAGCTCTGTCATCTTGCTCTGTGAAGTCATAGGAGACTGTAAATTTTAGGTGTCCTCCAGCAGCTGTTATCTGGGGAGAAAAAAGACAGAAAATGGCAAATACATGGCAGAGAACAGCCATTAGCCATTTTGGGGCATTTTTTTCCAGTGACAGTTATTTCCAGACTTCCAGTATTGCAAAACAAGATGCAGATACCTGGGTTTTACCGCCCTATGCACGATTCCCTTCTTGCTCAAGCATCTAGAAATGATGTGTTAGTCATTTTATTTCTGTGCCTGTCAAAGGCTGCAAATTCCTTAGACATACAGACTAACAAAGTAATGAGAAACAGCTCTGAAATCTATGCAAATTTCCACTTGATACTGAAGTTAGGTTTTCAGTGTATTTCAGCTATAAGGTTCTCGTTTAGGCTGGACCTCTGTATCAGTAACCTTAGCAACCTTTAAAAGATCCAGCAAATTCAGTTTTGCTGATGGGACAAACTACCAAAAAAGCAAACAAACCCTACTGATATTTGTCTCAAAATGAATTGTAACCTAAAATAGAAGAAAGTAAGACTTCTGCCTCACACAGTCAAATAAATTTACTTAAAAAGAATGCTCCAGTTCATTCTCTCAGTTTCAGCTTCTAAAGTAATAGGCCAACAACCAGGCTATTTTAAGTCATGCTAATATATTTTTCTAATGCTCTTTTAGCTCCCCAAACCAGGGCACTGACAATAACTTTCTCATAAATAATTGGAAAATGTAGATCAGTTTTAGGACAGAAAACAAAAACTTCAGACATGAATGACAGAGTTCATTGCAAAAACAATGGGTTTTTTTATTGTTTGGAAGCAGTGTAAATAAATCAGTAAGTTATATGAGCTACATTTTGTTTTTTAAATGCATCTGCCTCATATTTCAGTGCAAGGTAAGTCTCCTCTCAGAGGCTGCTAAAATCACAGGGATTCTTCTGCCCTTCCAGTACCTGCTGCTGACCACACAGCTAACTTGAGAGTATTTTATGAAGAGAATAATCTCATGATCTCATTTTTCTCAAGGACATAACGGGCTGTCTCTTGTTCATCATACTAGATGGTTTGCATACAGTAATAGAAAGCAGCAAAAGTCAACAACTTCATTATGCATTATTTTATGATGTATCCAATGTAAGGAAAAACAAAGCCCTAGTATTTCAGGAATTGAAATCAACAAATATTGAATTATCCATGAAGGTATAAAAATCCATGGACTGCATCTGAGGCAGTACAGCTAACTGCTAGGTTAAAAATAGAAAATTCATTATAATTAGAAATCCAAAGCTTGGATGTTTATCTACATAGTATCCAGACCTGCTAGGACCACACAACTACCGTCAGCCTTGACCACGACAACTTGAAAGGATTTTTTTTTCCTCAGATTAGACCCACCTTTTAAGCATTTTTTTACATTGGTGTTGTTCTGCCTATGATCAAGACTAAATGTTGTTTTATAGCTCTACCAGGAGCTGGAGAAAATTTAGATGCTTGAAATGCTGCAAGAAGGACTAATAATTGCTTTTAGACAAACGTATTAAAGGAGTACTTTCTGTATGAATTTTAGCCTGAACTTGAAACAGAAAAGGTAAGTACAAGGATTCAAGAAAGTAAAAATAATGGGAAAATGAAGATTTTCTAGTTTCATTCAACCTATAAAAAATATGAACCAAAACAACTTTTACTTTTTCCAAACTAGATAACCTTCACCTTAGTATAATTACTAATAAAAAATGTAACATGGGGAATTGATAGGTTAGAGAGAAAAAATCATGAGTAGGAAGGTAACGGGATTTACAATAGATTCAGATAGAAAACAAGTCAGCAATCCAAACTTCGGACAAAACTTTTTTTGTAAATAGATGAAAGTTTAGAGAAACAACTGGGATCAAACAAGGACTTCTGAAATATGGCCCTCAGGAGACACTGAAGGAAAGGGGTTTGATTAGTCTGGAAAATAGAAATCTAAGAGGGAATAGGAAAATAGTTTGCCAAAATAGAAAAGACAAAAAAATAAAAATTGATGTTTTTTTCTTCTGTAGCAACTGCAGGAAGGACATGTAAAACATTCAGGTTGGATATACAGAAAGCTTTCCAACTGTAAGGATGGTTAAAATACTATTAGGTTACTTTAAAAGGCTACTGGATTCCTCCATTAAATATTTAACAGTTTTAACAGTAGTTCAGACAAATACATGTCAGAGAGAGTCTAAGTATAATGCCTAAGAGTTAGAATATGACTAAAAAGTCTCTTGCAGTCTCTGCTAGCCATAGCAGTCTGAATTTCACAGCTGCAACTGACTGACAGAATCTGCGTATCACATATAGGATCATACAGTAGAGCTAAGGTCCTAAATTGGCACTTATCAGAGGGAGTATGTGGTAGCTCAGAAATATATGCTTCCATGCTGTAAAAGTGGAAAAGAAAAAAAAACCCTCATACAAAACAGAAAGAATTACTTACTTCTGCCATTGTTTATAAATGCCCTTTCCTTCCTCTATATATTTAAAATATAAGTTCAGTCATTGGCAAAGGAATTCAGAGGTCAATAAACGTGCTGTACAAACTGATATGTCTCGCCTAGTATAAAAAATACTTTGCACTGAATTTTGAACAAAAGGGCATTGTGGAAGGTGCAACACCTGCCAGCCACTCCATTTTCACGAGTGAGTGGCTGTCGTTCTCTGTGTCACCCAGCGATTCTGAGTTCTGCCTCCAGGATTGTCATCAGGGGCCGTATCAAGGCTAGAGAGAACACAGCATAAAGGTCTGTCTTGCTGGCATATATCACTGAGGCAAGAATAGCTGACTAAAAATGTCAAAGACAGTCCCACAGAACTTCTTTTTTTTCCTCTCTCCTGTTTTTAGACTGATGCATCAAAAATTTCCTCCCAGCTCTACAGGCAAAATCTGCCTTGTTTAAGAAAAGTCACAGACTCCTCAAGAAATACAAAAATAGGAAAGACATATCACAACCATCTTATTTATAATACAGCAAGTTTGTGGTAGATAGTTGATTTCTTAGGTTGTTCACAGTTAATTGTATTTGTATTATTATGTTATATTCTGTTATAGGGTACAGCTAGACAGCAGAGAAAACAACTATTTATGATATCCTGATGGTTGCATTGTGGGTCAGACGAAACCCTCTGAAAGAGGGGCAACAGTTCATTTCCCGCAAGCAAATGACCATGCGCAGCAGGAACAAAACTGGAGGGAAAGACGAAGCAGGCAGTACTACCTTGTGTGAAAAATGCTTTAAGCCTGTCACACTAAACTCACTTTTAGATCAAGCTAAGTGATAGTAAAACACAAATAAAGATATTTCCAACATCCAAAACAGACAATGCTGCTACAAATATTTACAAAGCTATAGGTGAGGAACACTTGCATCTTCTTATATGGAAACCAAATGCTAGAAGCCTCTGACCTCTTCCCTGGATTTAGTCAGCCTGCTGGCAGCACTTTTATGAGGCAAGCTGTCAGGAAGTTTCACGTCGATGTAATTAGAAAGAACCTCTTTCTTACACTAGCTTTTATAGCCCATCCGACGCTTGAACCATCCAGTGATTCACACCCTCCCTCTCCAATGCCTATTGTCTTGAGCAGAGGCCAAGGGCAATACACTGGGGCATCTCACATGGCACTGCGTTGCTTCTTGTAGGCAGCTGGAACAACTCCTTAGTATAGTCAAAGGAGCTTGGAGAGTGGCTGGGCTGTGGTTCCTACATATTACCAACTTGTATGGTGCAAAGAGCAAAGGTTTGACTTCGTGCAATCTGGGATGGTTCTAGTACCTTATTCCCATATTTTATGTTGATTAGCAATAAAGTTTGCACCAGCTGCTAACGTGCGCTTGGAAGATGCTGTCCTTCAAGACCTGCCAGCTTTTCTGAGCAACTTTGCGCTTCAGAGCTGCCTCCCACGGGATCCTACCTACCATTTCCCCATATAAACCGAAGTCTGCTCACCTGAAGTCCACCTGAAGTATTCTGATACTCTCCTCCCTCACTCCATTTAGGATCTTAAATACCACTATCTCATAGTCAGTACAGCCAAGGCTGCCATTGACTACCACATCCCCAACCATTTTTTTTCTTGTTAATGAAGAGTAGATCCAGCAAATTTGAAGTACTATACAACACCGTGCATTAGGGACTTAATCAGTTAGGCATCCTTTTCAAACTTGCTCAATGCTCAGTACCAAAGGCTGTGAGATCACAGTGTTTCTTCTGCGAAACACTGCATTTTTATTTTAATTTTTGTTGGAGTAACCAAGAAAGGTCTGTAGGAAAGAGAACAAGTAAATAAAAAGCATTTCTTAAACGAGTTCCCTTCTATTTGGATAACTCAAGAGTTATCCAAGACAGGAGGGGTCAGTACTACTAGCCTGCAATGCACCTAAGTGTGTGAAGATTGGTATGAACAGTGTCTGTTATTCTGAGAATCATTTTTTCTCTTTAATGTTTTAAGCTAGTCAGTAATAAACATATTGTTTAATGATGTCTATTATTAAATACATGAAAATTGTCACAGGTTTCTGAAAGCAAAAGACATAGGTACATATTTGCACTTGCCCACAAGTAGGTATTGCCCTGGAATCACATCCAGATTTCATGCTAAAAGTCGAAAGTTATGCAAATTCCATCTTTAAACAGATTACAGCACTTGGACTGACATTGGAAGAGATGCACCCCAGAATCCCATAGAGGCAACAACCTACCAGTAACAGGTAAAATAAGACATACTGAGCATCATATTAAAAACATTAAAAAGCTTTAACATATAGTGAAACACCAATGGAAGATTTTCAAATCAATTCTCTCTCTTGGCATTTATATTGAAAAGTAACTTGAAAAACATAAAATACATTCCATAGCTGAACAAAGTATTACATGATGCATACACAATTGAAATAAAATTCATGTACCTTACTCATATGTGTAATAGTAAAATCTGTATATCAGAATGGATTTAGCTCAGAGAGGCTCTGATCTCTGGCCTAATCCAAAAGAACATGATACTTTCAAAAGCAAAAATAAACTGCCACAT